CTGTCAAGCTGCTTGGCTCTTTGTTAGGGTCCGCAGAGGATATTCAGGCAAGAATAGGTGCTGCGAATAGAGCGTTCGGCTCCATTTCGTGGAAGCGTCATAAACTGAGCTCCAGACTTTGTATGTTCTCTGCCCTCATTTTGCCTATCCTGTTGTATAACTGCGGACTGTGGGCCCTGACACAGCAACTCAGTAATCGGCTGGACGCATGGCACCGCAGAAAATTGCGGTACCTGCTTGGTGTGGTGTACCCTCACCACATGTCGAATGCCAAGGTGTACGCCTCAACGCGACAAGGCCCAGTCAGCACTGCCTGTCGCAGACGTCGGCTGCTCTGGCTGGGCCATGTTGTTCGCGAAGGACGTAACTCAGCGTCCTACCAAGCACTGGAGATGGCAATTAATACCCGGGACATCAAGCGCCCACGTGGCCGACCCCATCTCAGATGGATTGACAATATTAAAAATGATCTAAAGCACGCCAATATTGATATTTCTGACTGTTTTGAACTGGCTCTAGACAAGAAAGAATGGCTGATGCTTGTGGAAAAATGTGCTGCGCTTGCGTAGTTGTTCTTACTGCGATACGTTCTTACAATAATGAGACGCCTTTTGTCGGCTCTTCTGCCTGGATTTCGTTGACAGATGCGTTAAGCCCATGGATCCTTCCATGAGTGACATGCGAGCTGTAACTATTATTATTATTATTATTATTATTATTATTATTATTATTATCTGCATCAACATTTTTAGCCCCTACTGTGACTCTCCCTCTCAATCCTCATGCACCACCTTTTATACCCCATGCATCTACGCCGACTCAGTCTGGCATAAAGATAGCCACGCTCAATGCATGCAGCGTAAGATACAAACTCCCAGAGATTGCCAGCCTCATCCGCACGCGGCAGTACGACATCTTGGGTCTATCAGAGACATGGCTAGATCCCGAGATTATAGACGGAGAGCTCAGTATTGAGGGGTACAATCTGATTCGAAAAGACCGCACTCAACGCTTGGGTGGCGGAGTCTGCTTCTACTACCGTCAAGGTCTCCCAGTTCGATCCCGCACAGATCTGCATTCTGAATCTACAGAAACAGTCTGGGTAGAAATAAATGGAAAACCAGGTCGGCACCTGGTTGGTTGCGTGTACCGGCCACCGGGGAGCCAGTGTCTTACTAGGCAGATTTGGAAGCAGATATTGTACGAGCAGCTTTGCAGTCTTCTTCTGTGACCCTAGTTGGAGATTTTAATGTCAATATGGGCCCAGCCCATCCGGCACCCCAGCACAAACACCTCACCGACCTCTGTGCTGCGTTTGGTCTCCAGAACATTGTCATGCAGCCGACCAGTGAAACTCCGCAGTGCCCTGAAGGCACGATGATCGATCTCATATTGACCACCCCGGCCCTTATGTCCCTAGCAACGGTTGTGCCCACTGATAGTAGTGACCACAGCGCTGTGGAAGCCTATATTCAGCTTGACGTTGACGTTCCACCTGCGTCATCCACGACGTCGTGGCTGACCAGGAACATACGTGGCGTTGACATTAACTCTTTTCGGCAAGATATCCTTGAGGCCTGCCTACATGATTTCTCGGATCACAATGATATAAATCGCATGTGGAAAGAGTGGCACACTAAGTTCCTGTACGTTTTGGACAAGCATGCCCCGCTGCACAACTCTAAGCCTTCCCGGAGGGCGATACCTCCCTGGTCTGGCAGAGAGCTGCACCAGCTCGAACAGCGTAAACGGCAGCTGCACAGCCGTTGGCGGAAGAATAGGACAGACGGCACACTGTATTCCGAGTTCAAACAAGCACGTAGCACTGCTCGGAATGCGTATCGGCGCAAGCGAAACGAGTACTTCTCCCGTCAGTGCGAAGAAAATGTGGCCAACCCTAGGAAGTCTTGGGCCATTCTAAATGCAGTCACTGGGTGTTCACGTCGCCGCCAATATCCTAGTTGTAGCATCAGTGAGGTGGCCGACACGTTCTACTCCATTGTCACCGATCCCAACCGTCCTGAACAACTCTGCACCCTGCAAGGTCCCGCTGGACCTGTCTCCTTGACCGAACTTGATCCTGTGACTCCTGCTGACGTCCGACGTCTCCTTGAGAAGTTGGATGCGCGGAAAGCCACGGGTAGTGACGGCATACCGGGCTCTCTGCTACAGCAGTGTGCTGACTTGCTGGCATATTCTCTTGCTGTGCTGTTCTGCACCTCGCTGAGGACTGGAACCATTCCATCCGCATTTATATTGGCGTCTGTCGTTCCACTGTACAAGGCCGGTGACCCATCAGTCCCCACCAACTATAGACCTGTATCCCTTCTCCCAATAGTGTCCAAGTTGCTGGAGAGGGTAGTGCAACACCAGTTAGTTCGTCATTTGGACTTGAGTAAGGCATTACCCGAAACACAATTTGCCTTCTGCAAGAAATGCTCTACGGAAGACGCCCTCTGTGTGCTGATGGATTATCTGCAGAAGGCGAGAGACAGTGGCAAGATCACAGGGCTGTGCCTATTAGACATGTCGAAGGATTTTGATAAAGTGCACCACGACAAGTTGATCCAAGACGTCCTTGCGGTAGGATTTTCTGGAAAAGCCCTTAGTTGGTTCGTCGACTACTTGTCCGGACGCAAGCAGCAGATCCTCATCTCGCCTTCAACCAGCCCTGCTCTGGCTTGCACCTGCGGAGTGCCTCAAGGCTCTGTTCTCGGCCCTGTCCTCTTCAGTATATACACACGAGATGTCCCTTTGGTTTCCTCGCCTGTGCCAAGTGTACAATTTGCAGATGACATAGCCCTGTACGACTCCCAGGCCTCAGCGGCGGAAGCGTCCAGAACCCTCACCACAGCGGCAACTGCTCTGGCCGATTGGCTGAAGTCTCGAGGCCTCATCTTGAACGCCGCCAAGAGCCAGGTTCTGACTATCTCTCCCCAGCAGCACGTACAGGAAGTAACAGTCAAAAGCGGCGACTGTCTCCTCCCTTCAGCGTCTTCTGCGTGCTACCTCGGCGTTCACCTTGACAATCGCCTAGATTGGGACACCCATGTAAACTATGTGTTGTGGCGGGCATGCCGAAGCCTATCAAGACGCTCTCGTGAGGTGTATGTGAAGGCGGTCATAATGCCCGACCTGCTTTATGGCTCCGGCTGCTTTTCAGCCGCAATGCGAGAGGGTCAACTGAAACGACTGCAAACCGCGCAAAACAGAGCCATCCGCTGTATCGACGGCAACCCGCCCCGGACAGCCATGCAGCCGCTGCTCACTGCTCACTCCCTGTACCGTGTCAGCGAGCTCTACAGGCAGAAAATATTGATCACCATCTGGCGGTGCATCCACGCCCGCACCAGCCCTGTGCTCGCCCAGCTTCTGACCCCGGCACAAGGCACCCCTACCCGCCATCAGCAGTCAAATGGCCTACTAAGCCAGGCAAACCGTAGCCGCCGCGGTCAGCGGAGATTTTCTGTTGCTGGTGCTCTGCTGTGGAACGCTCTCCCTGGTGAGGTCCGCACAATTACCCGGCTACCTGAGTTTAAGCATGCGTGTGTACAATACGCCTGTAGGGAGTAGCTTGAGTTGCTGCTCTGCTCTGCTCTGCTCTGCTCTGCTCTCCCTCCCCGTGCAGTTCAGTAATCCTCACGTAGTATCACAGGTACATCGTATTCTCTCTCCCCCCCCCCCCCCCCCGTTTACTCGCAGTTACTTCAGTATTAGTATCCTATTCTCTTACTATGTTCTTCCATAGCCAATTCTAGGCTAAGCCTTCGCCGTCATTTTATTGGGTCGTCATCCCGTTTGAATGTGCGAAGTGAAATAAAAACCAACCAACCAACCATGAATGTCAAGTTCTCATTTCTAATTGAGCTATTACTTACAGTCCTGCCATTGCTCGCTCGTCGTGATTCCTCCTCGTTCGTCTTCGTCCACTTCTGCAGTTCTCCTTCCCGTCACGGCGTCAGGTCAGTGCATTCTCAATGGCACTTTTCGGGACGGGGTACCGGAAGGAGTTTGCACGATGCCTCCAAAGGCCTAGAGCAGACGTATTGGCAGCAATATGTTTTCGTCCTGCGCATTCAGTCGGCGGACGCGTCGACGGGACAGCGTTTACGGGCCGGGGGCCGTTCCAGTTGCAGAAGACATTCATCAATGGCACTTTGCGGTACGGAGGTACCGGAAGGAGTTCGCACCATGTCTCCAAAGGCCTAGAGCGGACGTCTTTGCATTATCGTCCTGCGCATTCAGTCCGCCGACGCGACAGCGTTTACGAGGCTGCTCCACTTGCAGGAGACATTCATCGATCATCAATGGCACTTTGCGGTACGGGGTACCGGAAGGAGTTCCCAAGATGTCTCCAAAGGCCTAGAGCGGACGACTTTGCAGCAATTCTTTTCGCCCTGCGCATTCAGTCCGCCGATGCGACAGCGTTTATGGGGCCGTTCCAGTTGCAGAAGACATTCAATTTCATCAATGGCACTTTGCGGTACGAGGTACCGAAAGGGGCTTCCGCGTTCGTCTTCGTCGACTTCTGCAGTTCTCCTTCCCGTCAGGGGTACCGAAAGGGGGCCTCCTCGTTCGTCTTCGTCGACTTCTGCAGTTCTCCTTCCCGTCAGGGGTACCGAAAGGGGCCTCCTCGTTCGTCTTCGTCGACTTCTAATTCCGCAGTTCTCCTTCCCGTCAGGTCGACTTCTGCAGTTCTCAACTATTTCGCGTATGGGAAAGTCGTCGTGCGACTAGACTGTCGCGCGATGGCTTTCTCGTACGCGACATCGGCCTTTACCGGGTGGCATTGGCACAAAGCAAACCGCTGACGGGGTCACGTGTCAACAAAGCTTTAAAGTATCAACAAAGTGTCAACAACGTGTCGACAACGTGTCGACCACGTGTATAGCGTTACATTCAGCGGTACGCTATAGTATACGGTACACTAATTCTCGTGCCATTCTCGTCGATCGTGTCACAAAACTGGAACATCGAGCACTATTTTAGGTTTGTAGTAGATCTACTCCCTGCCCCTGGCTTCCAACCATCTTCACTCAGTCGGTAGCCTTTGCTGCAGCTGCAAGAAGCCAAGGCCTTACTAGTAACATTCACCAAAATTATTGTTCGTGACTTTGAGTCCTTACTTGTTCACGCTCGTAGAGAATCTCAGATCAACCGCACAAGCGCAAGCCTGTATTGACATTCGTGAATCATATTCCACAGACCTTGCCTTGAGTTTTGCCGCCGGTCATTTTTACACTAGCAGAATGAGAAAGTTTGTGCTGGGGTCAGTGCTGATTGTGGGCGTGTTGGTAGCGGTGTCCCTGTACGATACGTTTGATCCGAATGTGGACTTGAAGGACAAGCGAGTCATAGTGTGCGGAGCATCGACTGGTATTGGTGAGCAGATCGCCTACCTTTACGCCAGGGCTGGTGCAAGACTAGTGCTGGTTTCTCGCAGACTGCAAGTTCTACAGCAAGTGCAGGCGAAGTGTCGTGACTTGGGAGCAGCACAAGTGGAAGTGTTTGCCGGGGATCTTTCCTTGAAGAATACCAGCAAAGATGTGATTGAATATTCTGAGGAGAAGTTGGGAGGAATTGATCATTTGATACTGAACCACATCGTGTCCTATTATACCCTGTGGACAAGTGACGCCGACTTGGATTTTGCCACAAAACTGGTACAAATAGATCTCCTTAGCTATGTCTACTTGACAACGTATGCTCTGCCGGCACTGGAGGATAGCCATGGGGTTGTCGTAGCTGTTTCCTCATCAGCGGGTCTCTGGCCATCGCCACTGACGCATATCTATGCGGCAAGCAAGCACGGCTTGCACGGTTTCTTTGGCTCACTGCGGCAGGATTTGATGATCCAGAAGTCCAACGTGTCCATCTCGCTAGTTCCACTAGGTCTGTTTGGCTCAGACAACGCCAAAACTAACACCAAGACCAAGTTACCAGATATCATGAAGCTGTACGGAGAGCCCGCCGACGCTGCCTGGGCCATTGGACGAGCGGCTGCGTTGCGTCTGAGAGAGTACAACTATCCCTACTTGGAAACAAAGTTCGTGCAGTGGCTCTACATGCTGTTCCCGACTGTATGCGATCGCCTTCTGGTCTACATGTTTGAGTTCAATGCCCCTTCCACTATATGAGGTGAATCTGGTGAAGCCCATTGCAATCATTCTGATCATGTCTATGATTATGAACCGTATCTCGTTCATGATTATGTCCGTTGTTTGCAGTTGAAGTGCTCGGGGTTGTGAGTAGCACATAATATAATACAGTCGTCCCTCTCTAATCCGGCACTTTATAATCCAGCACCCTCGATAAACCAGCACAATTTTCAGTAGCCAAAATGTCCCCTTCATGTACATTGCAGCAGTAAATCAGATTTGTTAATCCAGCACCCTCCCTAATCCAGCAGATTTTCGTGGCACAAATGGTGCCGGATTATAGAGGGACCACTGTATATAATAATATTCGCGAGATCCACGTTAGCATCACTTGAATGTTCAGAAACACACAAGCTATAGGTAGTATAGCCTTGGCTTCTGCAGGCCACCACTAGCACTATGCCTTTACACCTTAGTGGCTTCTGCAGGCCACCACTAGCACTATGCCTTTACACCTTAGTGGCTTCTGCAGGCCACCACTAGCACTATGCCTTTACACCTTAGTGGCTTCTGCAGGCCACCACTAGCACTATGCCTTTACACCTTAGTGGCGAATGCAGACCTCACAAGTGAGTCAGGGGAGAGGAGGTGAGTCTCTCAACCAATCGGGCATGTAACGGCCCATAACCCTGTAAACTGCATCCTTGTTATCCTCACTCCGAGCTGTGAGTACCCAGTTGACCGTGGGTGTCGGCGCAGTTCAACACGCGTAAAAAGTCTTTTTACACGCTCCCTGCTGCCAGCGCGGGTCTCGAACTCGGGACCTCATGATTCGCAGGCAGGCCTGCAAACCAATCGGTCATATGCGTTGGTTAGTGTGCTACATACGTACTGTAATGACTTAATCCCACGATGCTGTGCTACCTCTTTGCTGTCCCGAACACATTCTACGCAAATGTACAGTGTTACAATATCTAGGATGTTAATTAATTTTCTAGGGTGGTTGTTAAATTCTGAATCCCAAACACAGCTCAATTGTGAATGTGTCTGTGGTGATGTTCCACAAAAAGGTCAATGCTTCACTCTTCTATCTTAAAAAAGAATGTTCTTACGGTACTGAGAATGCAGAGACAACTTTAAGTCATTCACTGCAGATAATAAAGTTTAGTTTATATAAATACTTTTGGAGCAAATGGAACATTGAAATGGCTCACGATGTTCAATATACACTTCTGTCACTGGAGTAGTTGCCAATTGTTGAAATGTGCAGCCAGTTCATTACGTCATGGTGATCACGGATCATGTCTCTTCCGTTTCAAGAAGACGCATGTTACCCATAAACACATTTAACCAGCAAAGCATTTCTTTAATTACTAGTATTCGGCTAGTTGTGTGTCCACATTTAAGCATTGTGCTGGAAGAGAAACGCCATGTACTTGTCCATTGTGCTTGGGAAGAGCATGTAAACCCATTGCAGGAACTTGGTGTCGAAGTAGGGGCAGTGGGCCTCTCTGAGTCGTAGCCCAGCAGCCCTGGCGATGGCATGTGCAGCGTTGGCGGGGTCCCCGTAGTTCTTGGCACTGTCCGGTAGAGTACTCTTTGTGAACTCACGGATAGTGTCAGAGCCAAACAAACCCAGTGGAACCATCGAGATGGACACGTTCGACTTCTGAATCATCAGATCTTGTCGTAGCGACCCGAAGAAGCCGTGCAGGCCGAACTTTGATGCCGAGTACACGTGATTCAGAGGTGATGGCCAAAGGCCGGCTGCCGATGATACAGCCACCACTGATCCATGACTTCTCTCCAGTGCAGGCAGTGAGTACGTTGTCAAATAGATGTAGCTCAAGAGATCGACTTGAATCAATTTTGTGGCATAATCCAGGTCAGAGTTATTTGTCCACAACTGGTAATAGAATATGGCATGGTTCAGTATCAAATGATCAATTCCTCCCAACTTCTCCTCAGAATATTCAATCACATCTTTGCTGGTATTCTTCAAGGAAAGATCCCCGGCAAACACTTCCACTTGTGCTGCTCCCAGGTCACGACATTTCGCCTGCACTGTCTGTAGAACTTGCAGTCTGCGAGAAACCAGCACTAGTCTTGCACCAGCCCGGGCGTAAAGATAGGCAATCTGCTCACCAATACCAGTCGATGCTCCGCACACGATGACTCGTTTGTCCTTCAAGTCCACATTCGGATCAAACGTATCGTACAGGGACACCGCTACAAACAGGCCCAAGTAACTCAGCACTGACCCCAGTAGTAGTGCCAGTACAAACGTTCTCATCTTGCACGTCGCACGATAGCAGCTGAATCCCGGACAACAGACCCAGCTCGTGATGCTACTCAGCACTACGGCCGGGAAACCGTTCTGGTATCTCACTTTTAGGTACCTCACGTTTACAACAACTCGACTTCTCCAAACACTATAAAATTATAACTAATACTTATGACTAATATTATTTACTTATAATATTATAAGTTATGTCTAAGGGGCCGGTCACACATGCACATGGGGTTTAGTTAGTTTGGCTTTGGTCTCTCCTCCGTAGACCGGAAGGCGAACAAGTACTAGAACAATGAGAATGGGAAGCAGAGGCGATCTGACTTACCGCGTTGCCTTTGAACAGTAGCGACGTGTTTGAAAAGAAAACCTTTCGAATGGCCAGTTTGGAGGTAGACTACTACTACTACTAGTACTAGTGTAGGCTAGCACATGATCCAGGTGCACTCGATCATGGTGCCCAGTTTTTGAAAATGTCTCTCCACTCATTCTCACGTGCACAGTTCCTTGTACTTGATAGGATACTATCCTAATAGGCCTACATACAATGATATAGGCTAGGACGTCTCTCACTCTCGAACACGTGTAGATCTACGGTGTAGTCACAGAAGTACAGCTGTCAATAACTACAGGAGCTCGAGTCCGGAGGCTGCTTGCACTTAGTTGCAGCATCGGCGGTCTGTACAGGACGAGTCGTAGATCTACCAATGGCATGCAATAGTAAGCTGTAAACTCAAGTCGACAAGTAGCCCGGCCACGCCCAGTTCTGTGCCCTCTCGAAAAGGTATGCCCAGTGATCTGTAAGTTTTGCCCGCCTGTATTTATTTATTTGTGTTGCAATTTCGGAAATGACGAGGTTTCTTCTTGCCTCGTTCCAGTCCCTTTCCCCAGTGTGCATGCCACGGCGGATGGGCAGTTTCTGACATGCTTCACACATAATCTTGGTCAGAACTGCCGGTTTGCCATGCGATGTAAAATAAATAAATAAACAACAACAACAACAACAACAACAACAACAACAACAACAACAACAACAACAACAACAACAACAACAACAACAACAACAACAACAACAACAACAACAACAACAACAACAACAACAACAACAACAACAACAACAACAACAACAACAACAACAGCAACAATTTCTCTTGTTGGCCAAAGGCGATCGTGAAAAAAAAGATTTCAAACACCAACAACAACAACAACAACAACAACAACAACAACAACAACAACAACAACAACAACAACAACAACAACTCTCTTATTGGCGATGGTGCCATCGTGAGAATAAAGAATTCAACAACAACAACAACAACAACAACAACAACAACAACAACAACAACAACAACAACAACAACAACAACAACAACAACAACAACAACAACAACAAAAACAACAACAACACCACCACCAACAACAACACCAACACCAACACCAACACCAACAACAACAACAACAACAACAACAACAACGACGACAACAACAACAACAACAACAACAACAACAACAACAACAACAACAACAACAACAACAACAACAACAACAACAAAAGCACTGTACAAGAGACGTCTGGTCGGATGAGCTTCCGTCAGCCCCAGATTGGCACATCACCCCCACTTCCTTTAGTTTTGTTTGTCCTGTCACTTCTACTGTCCACTCTCCTCGATATTACTGAACTACACGTATACTGTGTTGTGTTTCAGTGCTGTGTTTGGTAGTACAAAAAGATGTTTCTGTAGTGCTGAGTCGGGTAGCATTTTCTTCGGGTATCGGGCTCGGGTAGTTTTCCACGGGTAGCACCCGATCGGGTAATGTTTCCATGGTAAAACCACAATGCACCCCTTCCCTTACACACTGGGTAGACATGCGGAGTATTACATGAATTTGTACACGTGCGCACTGTACATGATGTTATCTGCGACTTCGGGTTTTCGGGTACTATTCTGTACCCGCCTACCCGAGGTCCTCACGGGAAGCATGGGCACCCGACTACCCGTGCACACTCCTAAAAAACCGCCTGTTCAAAAAGAAAAAAAAGCCGGAGTAGTAGCACAGAATACCATCAAAACATGCCTGGGAAAAAGGCAGCACAGTTCAGGAATCATTATAATTATTAATTATTATTATAACAGTGCGTCAAAGCTTTAAAGTAGAGTCAAATCACTGCGAAGAAATCATTGCGCCATTTTTTAAAACTTTGTGCTGAAAACCTGAACTTGAATTGTACACTTGCAAGTCGGGGTCAAACGGGTGTACCTTTAACTAACGAACGGGTAATTTTCTTAACGGGCGGGTTAACGGGTACCCTTTAGCAGCCATGTTTTACTTTTTTCCGCAATTTTCACACAAATCAAGATTTTAATTACAATAGTAGTCTGTTCTCGGGTTGCATTTTGATATCACATTGTGATTCGCAAACCGATTGGTGTCTGATAGTCGCAGGAGTAGATCTACTAGGTGCAAAAATGCAACAACAATGCAGACATCCAGCGTGGAGTTGTAAATAATTGACTCCCGCCTGGAATACACGGTCCCAGCAGTGTTGCTCCGTACTGACTGGTTCATCAAAATCCAAACGGGTACCCTTTTACAAACGGTACCTGAGATTAACGGCCGGGTACCCGGGTACCCGGTACACCCCTTTGACCCCTACTTGCAAGTTGCAAACATATGTATGTGCAAATCGGAAAATGCTCTGCGTAACATGTTTACAGCACAACTGAAAAGAAGAGCCCTGATCAATTCTTATAGCTCTTGTAGCTACACTACAGGCAAAGCAATTATCCACAGTTCGGCACTACAGACACTAGTGAGAGCAAAAGTCAGTGTAGCCGAGCAGAGTGGTCCTGTCCAGCACAACGAGTCGCTCAAAAACTGCTCACAGTCCACACATTTCCACCAGTTCTCCTCATGTTTTCACACGCCATCAATGTTCACAACTATCTCAGCATATATCCCGAAGCAAAGGTACAAATATCGCACTAATTTGGAACAATAAAATAGGAAACAATTGAAAACCGGATCAACCAGCAGATAACAGATCGGATCAAAATGTACGCCATTGAAAAGTTCTCCTGGCAGCTTGCCATCGTAAAGAGTAAATGTAAATCGGCGGAAAGCCTAGTAAAAATTAACCTAAAATTATAGTTCACTAGCCACCACTGTGGCCCGCACACACACGCAGTAGTGGCAGCAGACTCAACTCACGTATACCGATTGACAGGTCATGTGCACTCATAAATTGCCACCGTGTACTCACTCTACCACAAGCCGCTTAGGTGAAGAAGAGCTTCTTCCGAAGTTGAGACACGGGCGCAGGCATCTGCTTCTGCCGTCCCTTGGATTGGAACTCGGTAGCCACAAGGTGATTGACCATTATCAGCATGTCCATCAAGTGCTCTTTCTTGGCACGCTCATTGAGTACCTGCACGCCATGGTCGCAAGAGCACCACCACATCAACATAACAACACAGTGCGTACAGTGTGGTAGAGAGTCATGGTTAGCAGTCACTGATGCAACGAGATGACAAAGAACAACATCAACTGTGACTATGTAGCAGCGGTAAAGTGTCAAATAGAACAGAGCATAACCCCCCCTCTCAGTCCAAATACACATGTACCGAAGACCAAAGGGTTTTTCATGTTCTTTTTAGGAACAGTTTTCAGGCAGCTTCTTTTAAAAACCTGCTTTGTACGCATGATATTCTTGACTCCACTGAAAATGGTGCATACATCATGTGATCACCTTGATGAATGGCCTAAGAGTAGGAAGCAGGTAAAGTCACTGTCCAATCACCGCAACGTTTCTACAAATCAGACACATTATAGGTGTGGACTACCAGTATGCTGCACCACGCATGACCCAGTTACCCTCACCTTAACCAAGGCCTGGATGAACCATGAGCCACGTTCGCTATTCCTCCATGACACATAACCAGGCACAGTGGCATACGCTATCAGCATGTCCGCCTCGACCGGAAGCGACCCCAAGTGACCATCCATCTCTTCTTCCGGGCTTTTCGAATTCGCCGGCACGGAGTCGAGGAACTTCCGAAATACTTCTTCATCGGTGAGTTGAGATTCATCAGTCGCCGACGAATCTGCTGGGCCATCCGTAGACTCGAGACCAGCATCAAACGTTGCACCTCGACATGCTTGCAGGATGAAGATCTTCGGTTTGCCCACAAGTGTGGTGGCCACGTCACCTTTGTAGTAGGACGTGATTTGTGACACTTCCACCAAATCACCGTCAGTGCCGTAGATCTTGCCTTCGAGGCCATGGCTGAGAATCGTTATGATTACGGCGTCATAGTTAGTATGGTTGTGCATGGCCAGCGAATAGAGATTGTCACGGATCTGCTGCCCTGTACGGTCATAGAAGTACAGAGTACAAACAATGTGTTACAAGTATGATCATCTGTGTCAACATTTTGACAGTAATGGGAGAACTTCAAATTCAAAGGATTAGTCTAGGTTCGGCCTGGTCCCATTACTCAGATGATTAGAGCATTGCTCAAGACAATCAAGGTCGCGGGTTCGAGTCCTGAATGGTGGGGTTGGCGGTTTCTTCTCTTTTCAGGCAGTTCACTTCCCGACTCATTGTATTGTATTTATTTAAATGGATTCTCCAAAAGCAAATGGATGCTTATCATGGAAGTCTCCTACATAAATAGAGCAAGAAAAATGGGGAAATGGGGGAGAGGAGAGGGGAAGATGAAGCATGGGAAGAAGGGAAACAAGTACCTAAATATCGAGGTATAAAAGCAGGAAAGAAATCGACGAGAGAAGAAATCACCTCTGCAGTTAATAGCTGGACATTTAGATGAAAACCCCCAGCAAGGATTAATTTCAAGGAAATATTCTCAAACGGAAAAGTTCGGAATTCCCGTCAGAGAATATCTATACTGGGAGTAATGAGCCTTCATCCTTTGCGTCAACACCGTTCTTCCTTTATCTACTAGTACCGGCGATGTTGCTTAGGACAACCAAACGTCTGGAAATGCATTGTAAAAGTCACTAACTTTGCTACTGTGTACCACTCTTGGATGTTTCACTTGTTCTCTGTCCTGGTCAAACAGCATATGCCGCATGGAATCACAGATCGTCATTTTATGAAAGCTGGATACTTTCCCCCTTTTCAACTAATGGATACGTGAGAGCGCTGATTCCTTTTTTCTTTTCCTGGAGCCCACAAGCAGCATTTGATCCCAGCCCACCTCACTACCTGTCTGCCAACTGAATGGCATGAACAGCAGAACACAGCCGCAGTGTAGTTATCTAATACTGTAAATCAACAAATTTTCGCTGGCGATTTAATTTCGCTGATTTCGCCGGCCGATGCCA